CATGCATACACATGCGTGCACGTCCTTGGGAAAATAATCAAGAAAGTAAATATCCTTCCACCAAAGTAAAGGATTACCGGAAAGCAGATTGGTACGCTTGTCGTTGCAAGGCCCACAAACAAACACAGTTGGTTCTGGAACGGGCAGCATTGGTTGGGCTGGAACGGGTTACAAAGGGAGAACACTGGCTGTACGCACACCTGGGAAGTGCGGGCGAAAAAACAATCAGTTCTGAAATTTGATCGGAAATGTAGCACACAAAGATTTTAGTGTATTAGACATCTAGTATTCTTACAAAATTGACCACGCAATCATTTTAGAACTTGAAAGGCCACTTTCGAAAAACAAAATGCAGTATGCAGTCGTCTCCGCCTTACATCCCGCATTTTTCTTGCTCCCTGGATCTTAGACGGAGGCGGGCTTCGACCTTGCCTGCCAAGGCCAACCAGAGCTGGGAGGATATATCCCAGCCGACAGACGAAATTCTCAATAAACAGTCTGTCACTGGGGACTTAAGAGGCGTACTCGGTTCTTTTGCGAGGGGTGGCGAGAATCCTACCGGCTACACCACAGGCGCCGATAGTCAGAGAGTCGTAGAGGTTGGAGAAGAATCCCTACCTTAGAATTACAAAGTTCTATCTGCTCAATACCTAGATTTGAGAAACGTGACGTCAACAATTTTGAGTCTCACAATAATAATGCCAAGCTCTTTCACATGCAATACTTTAAATACCTTTACAATGACTCAGGAAAATCTCACGATTTTGATAGAGCTGATAAAACATTTGGTTTCTGTCCTCATGGTCTTAGTTCTTAGTAGATCTAACCCAAAATGGCCAAAAATATCAGAGTGAACTTTGTAATTCTGAGGTAACGCAATTACACCACTACATGTAGTACATTACACGTATATGACGAAACAAGAAACTTACAGCTTGCTTTTCCACTGGTTTTCCTTGCTTGGCGATAGCTGATACTGATTGGTTTACTATATTCTGAGCAGCGATGAGGGCCTCTGGTTGGTTGCTGTTTCCCAGTGCAGCATTTAATTGGTTGGCCTCTGATGAGAGTGACCAATCCGGTGTTGCCAAAAATAGGAACCACACCAACAGGTCCTTGCACCCCATTGGTGTCTTTGGCAGTCTGGAAACTGGAAACTGGATAATATGATGAACAGCAGGCGAGAAAAATAGAAGACTAGGACAGCATTATAAAGTCGCGACCTCTGTGCTTTCTTGTGTTATCTCCATTTTTTAAAACCTTGAAAATGTGACTTCTTCTTAAGCTCGCTTTTTGTTATGAACTGTTTTCACTTTTATTAAAAATGGAGATAGGACAAAAAAGTACTGAGGTCGCGAAGTTTTTGATGTAGCGTTTATCAACGTTAGTGAATAGCTATACATGTACTTCTTTTGAGTTCACAATTTACTACCTAGATCTAGGAGTTACAAAATTCTATCCGCTCAGTACTTAGTTTTGAGAAGTTTGACGTTAAATATTTTGAGTTTCACAACATGTCAAGCCAGCCTAATTTCGCAAGCAATTTTTTAAAAATAACAGTACCTTGATAACGACTCCGAACAATCCTATTATTAATGATCTCTTGATTTAACACATGGAACATAGAACATTTGGCTTTCCACCCCTTGGTCTTAGTAACTCAACACAGCCAAAAATGTCAGACAGAACTTTGTAATTCTGAGGTAGCGATTTACTCTCACCTCAATCTCTGTGAGTGTGAGAGGAGCTAAGTGAAGGGAGAGGCAATGATAAACCCACTGGAAATCAACTTATAATACATGTACCTGTAATAATAGATTGTATTTATAGAGCGCTCTATCCCATACGAGTAAAATATGCTCTGGGCGCTTTACATCAATCACATGGTCACTGAGCGATTCAAACAAGATAAAATATTTCACAGTAATAAGAAAAACCAGTTCAACTTCATGTTATAGAAGAGCTTTCACAACCATGCATTGATTATGATATACACATAAGGGCAGCAGTAAAAACAAAACATATCAGCACTTGCTAACACACTGTGGCAAAGAATTAAACTAATGAATCTTGGGCTATTTAAACGTATTAAGATTTGTTATTTCTTTAAAATCCTGGGGCAAGGAGTTACAGATTTTTAGAGAAAAAAAAATAAAAAAATTAGAAACCCGTACTAGAAGTAGAAGTATGAATCCTCCGATCGGGGGCAACGATATTTTTTTAAATGAATACATGTATATATTAAAATTTATTATTCTTGTATTATGCTAAATGTTCACTGTTAATTTTTCCCCAATTGATTTTTAAAGTTCCTTTAATTTAACCGATTTCAAAAGCAAACAAATAAATGTGATCGGTTTGTATTGAACTTGTATTCTTGATCATCATGTTTCTGTGACATTCGAGCTGTGAAAGGATGGTTTAATATTCAACTTAAACATCAGCAAACCATTCAACCAGTAAGGAAATAACATTAGACCTGGAATCAAAATTTAAAAAAATAGAAAGGATTATAAGACAATTTTGGGTTGTTTCTTTTTCTAATTAAATCTAAGAAGGAATAAAGGGACAAGAAAAAAAAGAGCAAGGAGGTAAAATGTGAAGAGAAAGAATAAAAGAAACAAAAATGGTGAAATGGTTTAACTCACCTACCAACTCTATATATGGCTATTTAAGAGGCGGGACCTCCAAGTTTCACGTCCATCTCCGAAAAGACCGAGTCAAATGAGAAATTCGTGTAAAGTGGCTTCCACAATACACAACTTCAGACCGAGCTGAGGCTCGAACCCCCGAACCCGCAATCTTACAACTCCGAGTCTGTTAGCCTAACCACTAGGCCGCTGACGTCACCAATTAAAGAAAAGACGAGAGAAAAAATATTTAAAAAGTGAAAAGAAAACATTGACAAATAAAGTTCAAAAAGACGAAAAGACAGCCTGAAAATAATATAAGAAAAATAAAAACAAAAACAGTGGGAAGAAAATTAGAAGAAAAGAGAAACACGCCGAAAACTTTGAAGTCAGGATATGTCGACGAGTACCAATTGGAAAAAAAAGACGCAAGACCCTAAACATTTTTTATTTGTTTGTTTTGGGTTGCGTTAAAAACTCACCTTTTGAACAAAGTAAGAAATTTACGAGTTGTGGTCTCTTCAGATTGTACAGAGAAACTGTGAGCGACGACAAAGTCAGCCCATTTTTACGCCCAATTCAATCGATCAACCGTCACAAAATTCCCAGCTGGCAAAGAAGGTTCGGCCTCTTACTGTGAGGAGAGGGAAATGTATTTG